AGCAAAAGGCTTTTGCCAATGATTGGCTGCCTGAATTGAGAGAAGCACAAGAATCAAGTATGATCCCAAGATTTGGGGCCTGGGTACCTGGAAAAATGGAGCAGCCATTGCCCAAGGCTGGAAGACAGAGCAGGGAGCAGGTTTAGGCAAAAGAGCGCAGGAAAATCAGGAGTGTGGTTTGAGTGTGTGTTATAGACTGAATGTGTGTGTCTCCACCAAAAAAATGTATCTGTTGAAATCCTCCTACCCCTCAATATGATTGTATTAGGAGATGAGGCCTTTGGGGGATGACTAGGTCATGAGGATGGAGCCCTCATTAATGGGATTAGTGTCCTTATAAAAGGGACCCCCAGAGACCTCCCTTGTCCCTTCCACTATGTGAGGACACAGTAAGAACTCAGTCATCTTCAACATGGAAGAGAGTTCTCACCAGAACCCAACCATGCCAGCACCCTGATCTTGGACTTCTATCCTCCAGAACCATGTAAAATAAACTTCTGTTGTTTCTAAGCCACCCAGTCTGTGGTACTTTGTCATAGCAGCCCAAATGGACTGAGACAGTGTGTGAAGTGTGAGATGTCCACCTGGAGGTGCCCAGTTGGGTACAGACATGCACCTGCAATTCAGGATACAGGACACATCAGGAGACAAATTTGGGGGTTATCCCCCTAAAGATGGTATATTTGTTTCCCAGGGCTGCCAAACAAATGACCACAAACTGGGTGGCTTTATACAACAAAAATTTATTCTCTCACAGTTCTGGAGTCCAAAATTAAGGTGTTGGCAGAGGCATACTCCTTCCAAAGACTCTAGAGAAGATTCTATTTCTTGCCCTCTCCAGCATCTGGTGGCTACAGGTGTTCCCTGGCTTGGGCCTGAGTCAGTCCAATCTCTGCCCCCCATCTTCACAGGACCTGCTCTTCTCTCTGTGTCTCCTCTTCTGTCGGTGCCAAATCTCCCATTGCCTTTCTTTTAAAAAGGCACTTGTCATTCAATTGGTGGCCCACCTGGCTAATCCAACACGATCTCATCTCAAGATCCTTAACTTGCTTATTGGATTGTCGGAAAAGTCATGATGCATTTTTGCAACAGATGGCACTAGTTCATTTTTGGAAGTACTAGAGTCATTCACATCTATGTTATTGCTATGTCATTTGACAACTGACAGTTCTAGCTTCATTCTAAAAAAACTTGAGCGATTTGGTTGAGTTTTGGAGATTTTACAACAAATTAAAGATGGAAGACCAAACTGTGCATTTTTGCCATATTTTACTGTTTTACTTCCATAAAGGGAAGAACACGCATCAAGCTTGTGAAAAGTTGCATAAAGTTTACGGTGACAATGCTCTACAAGAACGTCAGTGCCAACAATGGTTCACAAAATTCCATGCTGGTGATTTTGATCTCAATGACGCTCCTCGGTCAGGGAGGCCCACCGAGGTTGATGACGCCAAAATAAAGACATTGATCGAGTCAAACCCACGTTACACGACACGAGAGATTGCAGTAACATTGAACATCCATCATTCAAGCATTCACAGCCACCTGAAGAAGCTGGGACACGTAAGCAAGTTCGATATTTGGGTTCCACATGAAAAAGAAGTTCATTTGATGGCGCGTATAAACATCTGCAATATGCTCACTAAAGGTGAGGAAAATGATCCTTTTCTGAAGCGACTGATAACTGGTGATGAGAAGTGGGTTGTTTACAACAATGTGGTGTGCAAATGGTCTTGGTCCCGACGTGATGTTTTGTCTCAAATGACATCGACAGCAGACATTCATCAGAGGAAGGGTATGCTCTCAGTGTGGTGGGGTTTTAAAGGTGTCGTGTTTTTCGAGCTCCTACCAAGGAATCAAACAATCAATTTGAATGTGTACTGTCTGCAATTGGACAGTTTTAATGAATCCATCATCCAGAAACGTCCAGAGCTTGTTAATTATAAAGGAATTGTGTTCCATCACGACAACATGAGACCACACACAAGTTTGATCACCCGTCAAAAATTATTGGAGCTTGGATGGGATGTGTTGCCACACCCACCATACTCACCTGACCTTGCGCCATCAGACTTCCACTTGTTTCGCTCTCTTCAAAACTCCTTGCATGGTAGAACGTTCAGTTCAGATGAGGCTGTAAATCAGCACCTTGTTCAGTTTTTTGCAAATAAAAACAGGTTCTTCTATGAACAAGGAATTATAAAGCTCACTGAAAGAAGGCAAAAGGTTATCGAACAAAATGGGCAATATATCATTGATTAATCTTTGTTTTTCATATAAATAAATGACCTTTGAAAAACATAGACAAAGTACGTCATGACTTTTCCGACAACCCAATACATTTGCAAAAGCACTTTTTCTAAATAAGGTCACCTTCACGGGTTCTGAGGATTAGGACATGTATATACCTTTGGGGGGTGGTACCATTCAACCCCCTACAGGTTGTATTAAAACCTCACATGGAACTGTGAGTAGAGAAAGAGATGCCTTCCACCCCCCCCACTCTTATCTTCTTGTTCACCTCTGTGTCCAAGTTCTGAAATAGCCATTCATAAAAGAAGTATGTAGTAGTAATTATAATAAGAACACTTATCTAACACTATGTACCAAGCATTTCTATAAGTACTTCATATAATTAACACATTTAATCCTTACAACATTAAAATCAATATCTCCATTTTACAAAGAGCTCAAGGCCCTTGCCTAGGCCACACTACTAGGATCCTAATCCAAGACATCATTGTCTCAAATGGCAGGAACCACAACTTGGCCCAAGTAGGGGGATCCTGCTTGCTTTAGAGGACCTCACCTATTATGAACAAAAAATAAATTTACTGAAGAACCCAGGACACCACTGTCATGGGAGATCCTGTGATTAGAGCTGGCATTGAACAACCATAACTCTAAACATCACAACATCACTCTTGATATTAATGCCATTCAGACCCCAGGAGAGCGCTTCCCAGTCTCTCTGACTGATGTCCTTGTGTTTCTGAATTCTGTGATTCTGGTTGTGCTGACAATGGAAATGAATGCTACTTTGCAATGTGAGAAAGACTTGAGAACCAGACAAATATAGGTAGGAGAAAAGGCAAATTATCTTGTGAATTAGTTTCCTAGGGCTGCCATAACAAAGCACCACAAGATAGGTGGGTTAAAAAAGCAAAAATTGGGGGCCGGCCGAGTGGCGCGATGGTTAAGAACTGGCTTGGGATGCCAGAGGGCCCCGGTTCGGATCCCATATATGAGGGCCAGTGACACTGCCCTCCACAGCTAAGATGCTGAACAATGGCTCGACCTGGAGCTGGGCTGCCGTGAGTCGCCGGCGATGGCATAGGCTGCAGCCCCTGTGGCAGTGGGTTGCCATGGGCTACCGTATGCAGCCAGCAGCCAGCGTGAGTGGCCAGCAGCCGCAGTGAGCGGCCATCCAGAAGCCGGCGACTGATCTGCCTCACCAGGGAAAAGCGCAATGATAGTGCCAACTTGGGCCAGTGAAGCAACATCCTCCACAACTAGACTGAAGAACAAAACAACAGCAACTTGTCTGTTCCCCTTCCCCCAATTCCCCAACACTGTTCCCATCCCCCCAATTCCCCAATAAAAAAATCTAAAAAAAAAAAAAAAAAAGCAAAAATTGGGGCCAGCCGAGTGGCTCAGTTGGTTGAGCTTGCTCAAGAGTGCGAGCTCTGAGCAACAGGGTCACCGGTTCAATTCCCGGCCCAAGCTGAGCTGTCGCTGAGCTGCCAACAGGTGGCAGGATGGCTCAGCTAAAAAAAAAAAAAAGCAAAAACAGTCTCACAGTTCTGGAGGCTGGAAGTGCAAAATAAGTTGCGAACAGGGCAGTGCTCACTCTGAAGGCTCTGGGAGAGGAGACTTCCTGCCTGGGATCTTGGCATCTCTTGACTTATAGACGCATCACTCCAATTTTTGCCTTCATTGCCCATGTTGTTCTCCCTGTACTGTCTGTGTTCAAATTTCCCTCTTCTTATAAGGACACCAGCCATTGGATTAGGACCCACCTGAATCCAGAATGATTTTATCTTAACTTGATTAATCTGCAAAGACTCTATTTTCAAATTAAGTCACACTCACAGGTTCCAGAGGTTAAAAGTTTAACATATATTTCAGGAGTGGAGACAATTCAACCCACAACACCTGTCTAAAGAAATCTATTCTTGCATAATCATTTCCCAACACTGCCAAGCCCCCATTGAATAGGCTTCTCTTTGTGTTCCAATGCAGGATTCCAGAGAGTAACAAATTAGCACATTTGTTACTGTTGCACATTGAGGTCAAGAAGTGTTTGGCAGTATTAAACAATGTATTATACTCTTAAATTTCCATATATGTAAGCCCTAATGTAACAGGTGTGAAATGTAATACCAATGCTTTACAGTGACAATTAGAGGGATATTAGAATTGCAACTTTGTTTTATTTTGCAAAGGTATTCAATAGGATTTATTTAAATTTCAGCTTTAATTAGTTATATTTATAAGTAAGTTTATTTGCTCATTTAAATTAAATTTAATTAAAATATTTATTTTGAGTAGTTGTATTTAAACTTTTTTGTTTGTTTGTTTGTTTTTAGCTGAGCCATCCTGCCACCTGTTGGCAGCTCAGCGGCTGTATTTAAACTTTTGATCATAACTATTGTAAATACATCATTGGTAACGTGCAGGGTTTTTTTAAGACAAATTCGAATGTTTTCGAAAAAAATTTTTTTTAATATGATATGAACAAAATTTTTCATTTGTACTCTAGCCTCCGGAGATCAGGGGCGTCCAGAGATGGTAAGGGAAGGCCCGGGACCCACGTCGTTCCCGCTCCACATCCCCACCGAGATTGATTTCCAGAGACAAGACCTTCCCCACCGGCGTTCACGCGATTCCGAATGGGGACGCGTCACGCCTGTGATGTCTCCGCCAGGACGCCAGGGGGCCCCAGAAATACCGGAAGTCCGCCAGGGTCACTCATCTCTATGGTTCCTGCAGCAGCCTGAGCAACCCGGAAGCTGTGGTTGGCGAAGGGGGAGTGCTTCCGAGTGGGAGCGAGGTGACCCCGACTGCCGCTGGAATCTGCGGCAACAGCAGCCATGGGGGCGCACTTGGCCCGGCGCTACGTGACCGATACCTCAGGGGAGCCCGACCCCCTGCGGATGCCCACCTTCCCGCCCGACTACGGCTTCCCGGGGCGCAAGGAGCGCGGTGAGGCCCAATGCGCAGGCGGGGCCGGCGGGAGTGGGGCGCGGGCGCCGTAACCCCGGGGTCCCCAGGACTGGGCTCAGCCCTGACCTCGGCCCGGAGAACTCCAGAGAACACTCGTGACCCTGCCTGAGTGTGGACGCATTCTGGGCAGAGGACATGGTTTGAGAGAAAACCGGGGGACAAAAGAGTGACAATATGAGGCTAACAAAGCAGTCGGAGCTGGGCTTTGTCCTCGAGTCCGTGGGTCGCCATGGGAGGGTTTATCACGGAAGGGACATGTTCATTGTCCCTGTGTCCCGATGTCACTGCTATGTTTAGTTATGCACAAGAAAACACAAAGGGCTCTCGCCGCACATACTGTTCTGCACGTTGCTTTTTTTTATGTAGTCACAGCACAAGCATATCGAGCGCCAGTCCTGAGCCAGGTCCCTGGTTGGACACCACGGTTACAGCAGGCACTGACTAAAGGGAACTCGCAGCCTCCGAGGGGGAGAGCGGGGAGACGACGGCACCAGGCAGATCATGGGGCACCTGGAGTATGAAAGCAGGCTTCCAGGAGGTGATGGCTGGAAAGGAGACATGAGTAGGAGTTGACCACACGTAGCCCTAGGAGAGGGGAGAACCAGTGTTTGTAAGCAGAGGAGGGACACAATCAGATTTGCTATGTCAAAAGTTCATGCTAGTTGCTGGGTGGGCGATGACTGGAGGTAGGGAGACTTCTGTAAGTGGGGGTCTAAGTGCAGAGAGGTCTGAATTTGAGAGAACACTGGAAGGTAGACAACTCCAGTGGCCCAACTCCTAGTAGTCGTTCAGCCCCACCGGAACCTGCAGTCCATCATCTACCTATGCCTACCTCCTTACACATTTCCTTCCCGTTGCCTCTCTCACCCTGCTTTGCCCATCATAATCCGTTTTGCAAACACCCACAGCCCCCTGCTCCTCTCTGGTTTGGCTAGACCAAGACCCTGGTTAAGCCCAGCTCTCCTTGGGTCCTGTCCCTGTGCAGCTGAACAGCATGGGAGAAAAACAACCTCTGTGACTGTTCTCCCTATCGCTCCCCCGGTTGACCCTGCCTGCTGCTGGCTTTCCTGTTACATTCCCTGGCTGTTGGCTTTCCCACCCCCTCCCAAACGACTGGCTCACACCTTGTCTCTCAAACTCTAGCCCCTCCTCCCCACATCCTTTCAGCTAGTTACTTTGCATCCTCTTATTGAGAAAATAAAAGCTGTCAAAAGAGCTCTCGTGGCTCCCTGCATCCCTGGGATTCCGCCTTCACTCCTGTTAGAGATGATCTGACCCTGCTCTGGACAAACCCCCTTGTGCCCTCCATCCAATCCTCTCACCCACCCAAGGGCTGCCCCAACCGTTTTCCCTCTCTCTCGCAACATTGGTTTTCCCATCAACACAGCTACTGTTAGGTTTAAAAGCCCCTCCTAGCCCAACTGTCTCCTCACTTCACTGCGAGGGCTCTTGTCGAGTTTCTCATACACACACTGTATTGCTCCACCCCATTGTCAATTCTCAGCTCTGACCCCACTGCAACAGCATCAGGCACAGGGGATCGCTGCCACTTCCTGGAAGCCCCTCCCCCCCTGGCTCCCAGAACCGCACTCCTGGCCTCCTCACTGTGGGCGCCTTCACTGATGCTTCCTCTCCTCCCTGTCTCATAGATGTTGGGAAGCCCAAGGGCTCAGGCCTTCTGTCTCCACTCTCCACTCACTCCCCTCCTCCCTGGGAGTCTCTGTTAGTCTCCTGGTTTTAAACGTCTCCTGGTTTCAAAACTCTGAACCCCAGACTTTTGGACCCCACTCCCTACTTGGTATCTCTGTGCGATGTTAACGGGCATGTTGCACTCGGCAGTCCAAAACAGCTCCTGACCTCCCAAGTCCGTGCGTCCCTCCAGCTCCTGCCACGTGCTCATGCCCAAACCCCTGGGGCAGCCCGAGGCCTGTCTTCTTACCTCAAGGCCTTTGCACCTGCTGTTCCCCTACTGGGAATGTTCTTCCCCTAGGTGTGTGTGCGACTCACTTCCTCACCTTCAGGTGCCACCTTCTAAGGCAGCAGTTCTCAACCTGTGGGTTGCGACCCCTTTGGGGGTCAAATGACCCTTTCACAGGGGTCACCTAAGACCATCGGAAAACAAAAAGATATTTACGATTCATAACAGTAGCAAAATGACAGTTATAGAGTAGCAACGAAAATAATTTTATGGTTGGGGGTCACCACAACATGAGGAACTGAATTAAGGGGTCACAGCATTAGGAAGGTTGAGAACCGGTGTTCTAAGGGAACCCTGCATCTAAAGTTGTGACCCAGCTCCCAACACTGCCTCTCTCCCTTGCTTTATTTTTCTGATACTTAGCATTGTGGACATTATGTGACACTAGCTCTGGTTGTTCTGTCTCCCTCCAAGGGCAAGATCCTTCAAGTTCCCTCCTGTATCCCCAACACTTAGCACACAGTAGGTGCTTCATAAATCCTGACTGCTAACCGATTATACCACAGCACCAGATGCAGGTGGCGCCATGTTGTCAAGGAAACCAGGCTGTAGATGGATCAGGGGCCTGGGGCTCAGACAAGGGGGGGGGGGGACTCAGTTGGGGCTCATCAGCCTATGGAGTAGCCATCGAAGCCATGGATAAGAACGAGTGAAGGCTCTCAGGAAGTCAAAGCCATAGTGATGGGGGGAAACCCGAGGGAGGGTAGCTGGAGCCTGGGGAAGAGAATGTTCAAGAAAGAAGCGAGAAGCTGAGGCAGCATGGTGTCCTGGGGTCTCGGTTGCCCTGGTGAGAGCCATGTGGGCAGTACTGGGTGGAGTGTGTACGTTGGAGGAGGTGGGATGCAGGGGCAGGATATGAAGACTTGGGTCCCAGAGAGACAGAAACAGGGCTGAGAAGTCAGCGGAAAAAGGGGAGGAGGGGGCGTTGGTGAGCGGGGAGGGCCAACGCTCTCTAAAAGCCCCAGTCAGCCTCCTGAAGGCTGATCTGGTCCAGGGTCGAGCTTGCCAGTTGGGTGGGGCCCAGGCCCAAGCTCTCCTGCAGGCGAGCACTAAGCAGGTTACACGTATAGCCCTTAAGGCCTACTCAGGTCACTTTGGAGCTGGACACTGTTAATCCACTCCTTAGGGGAGGAGGCTGAGGCTCCAAGCGGCCACGCCCTGATGAGGGGAGCGCTGGGACAAAGTGGGTTCTGGCTCTGCAGGGTGGGGCTGGGAGGAGAGGGAGATGAGGACCCAGTGTGGAGACTGCGGTGATGGGGGGAGAGGGACCCTTCCCGTCCGGACCTCAGTGTCAGGGCCGCCTTGTGCATATTAGTGAAGGACACCATCTGTCGGAGGATGGCTGTGGTCTGCTGCCATGTTGTCCACGGGGGACACCCTGATCTGCGGCTCCCGCTTGCACGTGGGCCACGGGTCTCCCTAGAGTTAGGACGCGGTGGGCGGCCTCCAGCAGTTATGCCCCAGCAAGCCCCCCTGGCTGAACCCCACCCGCTTCCCTCCCCAGAGATGGTGGCCACGCAGCAGGAGATGAACGACGCGCAGTTGGTGCTCAAGCAGCGGGACTACTGCGCCCATCACCTCATCCGGCTGCTCAAGTGCAAGCGCGACAGCTTCCCCAACTTCCTGGCCTGCAAGCACGAGCAGCACGACTGGGACCACTGCGAACACCTGGAGTGAGCCGCCCCGCCCCCCATCCCCGCGC